ATGGTGCAAGGAAAGATGAAAATAAAAAGGAATTCTGAATGTATGATAGCATAAAACAGAACCAGATATGCCCATGGGGACTGCAGTAACAGGACTTTCCTAAAGATGTGGAAATTTCCAAGAGAGATCAGAAGACTGATGAAACTGGTAAACTGCAAAATGTGACTGAGAAAACCTGGGAGAAGAAAAGCTTAGAGAAAGCAAGATGGAATTTGGATTATAGCAAGAAGCAGCGTGTTCCATGAATGAGAGCAAGTAATTTGAGAAAAGGAGACTTGATGGTTGCTAATGTGATTTGTATTAGAATCAGTAGATGAAGCAGCCTTCCCTAAGGATCATTCTGGAGAAGCACGGCAATGTATCTGGCCAAAGCCTGCTGGGGGCTGGGGCTGGGGCAGAAAGGAGTAGGTACCTACATGGCTCAGATCTTTTGCAAAGAGATAGGACCGCATGATATGGAGACCTCACAATTTTCTTTGTCCTCAAACTTTTAGGCAAATTATTCCAATAATTCTTGCAGTAGTAGCCACCACACCTGATAGTAAGACGTAAGACCTTCTGCTTTCTGCATTCAATTAGTTTTTAATAGACTGTTAAAAAAAATTAAAAAGAAGAGAGATTCTCTATTTATTCCATATTATAATTGTTGTCATGTTCGATTTCTATCAGTATAAACCTGCTATCTCCCTGCCTCTGAGATGCAACAGTTTATTCACTTATGGGGTCTCCACTGGCACCACGCGTTACCCTAACCGTGAGTCACAGATGTTGTGGAACGTCCTTAGCAGGAGACCTTTAGAAGAACTGATGTTCCCCGAAGTTAAAAGTTTCTATGTCTACATGTTTATTCACACAATGGAATGATTTAAACATGAAAAAAAAGAATTCTTTTTTAAAGTTAACTCTGCTAACAATGACAGAAGACAACATGAAAGTAATAATAACAGTGTGTTCAATTGGTAGATAATTATTTTTTGTAGTGTAAGTAATAACTAAGCTATAAGAACTGAATAAATGAACAAGGCAGTATGAAAATGAAAAAATACTCTAGTTCAAAAGGGATGAAATATAAGGGTCAGAGTCCATACAATGCTCTAAGACCATCATATTATGGAAATCCTCCAAATCAATTTGGTGAATGTGGTTCTCACAGCATACAAATTAATGAAATTTTCATTGGCCTCTGCCCTGAATTTGAAATCAAATAAAATGAAACTCCTATTAACAATGCTTTAGGGTAAAGTACTCACATCTTTAATTTCCTCTGACATAAGTATCTATCTTAGGGGTCTGGTTCAAAACTTCTCTCAGCTTATTCATAGAGTGTAAATCAAATCCACGAGTCTTTAAAAGCTTATGGAATGACACAATCAATGAATCCACAATCTCATTAGGTAACCAGACAGAAGAAATTATTGCAGACAGATCCTTTCTTGCATAGATGTCCACATAAAACCGGTGTAGAAATCAATCACATTGTCCTGTGATTAAAACTGAAGAGCCACTCAGTCCATTTTTTTAGCATAGAAAATCACCCAAGTGTTAGAAGAGCAGGCAGCACAGTGTAAGCTCCATTATGATATAATACAATACAGATGTCAAGTAATGCTTCATTTCAGATAAAGCTTCATTATCTGATCATGCATGTAAGGCTAGTAGAGGAAGAAACACCAATTCTTTGTACTGATTTTAGACTTTGGACTTTTAATGTAACCTTCTCAATCCTAGCTAAGAGAAGAAAAGGAAGTCATTTGTAGGACCCTCTAGCTTTTGATTTTGGAAACATGCGTATATGTGATATTAACTGGGTGAAACTGAAGTGGCAGTCTGCAGGCAGAGTGATGTGCATTTCTCCTGCATAAAGCCCATCAGGTTTTACTGCTAATAAGATACGGAGATATGAAGGGAATATTTTGCCTCCTTCACCATCCCCAGACCCTACCCCACCAGCAACCCACAGCTGAGCTATTTCTTTACAGCACCTCCATTGAGGGTTCAATGTCTGAAAATTCAGATATGGGAGTGGGCTTCAAATGACTTGACGGTTGAGCAGAACGTCAGAGCAGCTAGGATGGTCAGCTCTGAAATGAGTGGCATATGGAGGTGAAACAGCTTGTCTAAAGCAATGAGCTCTGATGCCGTATGCAAGTAGTATAATGGGCAGGGCTTTACCATACTAAAAACTTTGATTGCATACACTAAGGAAGGAAGTCGCTCGAGGTGACTGTAGTGTACTATGGCAATGACTCCAGAACACAGTTAAATGGATTGGAAGGTTGAAAGGATTTAAAAGTTACAAAGCTGGATATTCAGACAAAATTGTTGTTGGACTGAGTTATCAGTGTCCTTTCTGATATTTCCACTGTTAATAGAGGCTAGATCTTTATAAATGCATGAAAACTCATAAAGCAGAAGCAGCAAGTCTGGAGAGAGCACTATAGCAGAAGGTGAACGGTAAATTTATTGGTGTCTACCTAAAAATCGCTAAGTGTTTTGTCGTTACTAGTCCCATATATTTGATCATATATATAAGACATCCAAAGATTACTCAAAAGTAAATAAATAAATGAATAAGACCTTTTTGGAACAAGAAAGGCCAAAGGATCATAACGGTGGAGACAATAAATTCGCTGGTATCCTTTCCAGCCTTTTATGGAATTTTTCACAATAGAGCGTATTGTCATCTAAGTGATTTGTGTTTAAGCTTTTGGGTTTACAGATGAGTGGAAAGGTTGGAATGGATTTGGCAGTTCTGCCCGAGAGGATAATATGTTCCACATGATTGCCAAGGCAGGTCTGGAGAATCGCCAGTGGATCTACAACAATCCATCAAGCACGAGCAAAAAGCAGCAGGGAGCTAGCAAAACTCTCCAGCTTATTAGGTACTTCTGGCTTCATGAGGAGCCTTGCAGCTTACAGCTCACTGTTTCTTTCTATAAAGATGGACTACATCTATCTATAGTGACCTTGGTGATACATGTTTGGAAAGCTAACCAGTACAGTCTGGTGCTGAAATGCAGCCCTTCTCTTCTCCAGAGTGTGTTGGTATGCACTAGTTGTCAAAAGCATTAGTGTTAATAATTTAAAAAAATTAGTAGTAGTAAAAATCTACATTTTCTCCTATGTAGATATTTCCCTCCCCCTTAGCTATGTTTTAGCTTAGCAGTTGTTGTCCTAACCGTTCTGCTACCAAAAACTTGCAATAGTGACCCCCAACATGTGACCACTCCGTTTCTGTTCCCTGTACGAGAGGCACGCAGGACGTCAGGCCAAGGCTGCGAGGAAGGGCTGCCATTGCTCTCGTGTCTGCCCAGCTGCATTTCCCACAGTAAGCTGGGACAAGTGACGGATTGAGAAAGCAGAGGGCCAGGTGGTTTTGGCAAGACATCAGCTCCCACTTCAGTCATTAATGCAGAACAAGTTCTACAAACCAAAACTTAGACATAGAGTGGGTATGTTGACTCAAACTGGATCAGGAACTGAGTTTTGTTGTTATTCTCATCATATTAGGTTAGCAGTTGTCTTGACAACCGTTCCCAAGTATCTCCCCACAGCATCTTTTCACATACTTTTCATGTGTGAAAAGTATAGATAGTTACAGTAAGGGCCAGGTAGAAATGCTCACCCTGATTGAATGGTACTCAGTGAGAGCAGGGTAGTAGGACCAGCTAATGCATTTTCTAACATAGGAAATTACACTGCAGCCACCCTGTCATCTGACAAGCTGCTGCTGGTGTACTGATGGATGAATTATTATATGCTGTATCCTCGTATAGCAGCTTTTTAAAGCCAGGATGCTATTAGATTGGATTACATCCTCTGAAGCTGAAGTGTCCGTGAGGAAGGATTGAGTTTAGCATTTTTACTTACTGTAATTTGAAACATAGTCTACAAAAAGCAGACTATTATAAAGCCTAGTTTTGATACTTCTAACTGCATGGTTGTACCTGTTATCATGCCCTTTACCATGTCTCACTCTGTTCTGTATAAAGACAGGCAGCAATTTGCTGCTAAACTTCAGTGTTTGATGTCCTAAGATACATATCACTGAGTATTTTCTGGAGAATTTTATTTCAGTCGTCTTCCTTGTTTTTCAAAGGAAACCAAAACAAAAACCAAGAGCAGCCCTTCCAACTCGTACAGCAAAGCACTTTTTAAAAATCCAATTTCACAAAAATTGCCATAAATTGAATTCTATTTTTTTCCTCATCATTACTCCTCTGTCAAAAGTGACCCATTCCGAAGCAAAACATCTTTCTCAAACTAACAAGCCAGTGCCACCCGGCACTGAGAATCATCCGTGAGCTGCGGGGAGGGTGTCCTCCCTGCCTTCAGAGGTGTCTCACAGGGTCTCGCTGCAGTTAGCAGTTTTGTTGGAGTTGCAAGCTAATGGAACATAAAATATAAGGACACCTTTTTCATCACTGTAAAAATATAATTCTAAATACCCACAGGAGTTCTGACTTGTTAAATAAGATAAAGCCACTTTTATGTAATCACTAACCAGAGAAAAATGACAAAAGTGCCTCAAGCGCTCGGCTAACAGGGTCTTTGGGGTAAAAGGGCCTTTTAGCACTTCCCTTCGGTTTAGAAGATGAAAAACACTGCAGATTTAAGGAGCACCGTCAGCTCCCCTGCTGCCTCGCTCTGTTCATCACAATAGTATCTGAGCTTTGGAAACCAAAAATGGATTTATTCGGATAATACCCGTGTGTTGTTTGGAGAGCTGAGGACAAGAGAGGTGAAGTGAGCTGCTCAGAGCACAAACGAAGAGCGTGGTGAAGGCTGCAACTGAATGCTGCCCGCCAGAGGCCTCTGCCTGTGCTTCAGATACAGGATTGCACTTTCCCTTTAAGTCCTCAGTGCCCATGCTCTTATCTCTCTCTTGTGGTACATTAAAATCACCTTTTCATCGAATAATGACAAATGCAAACTATTTTTAAAACTGTATTAGCCTTCCAGTGCCTTCTGGCTCACACTGTGTGAGATCTGGACATCTCCCCAGCAGCTGCCTGCCGCTCTGCCCTCACTTGCTCTCAGCTTCCCTGCTCTCACCAAGTTTCCTTCCTCCTCCTCTTCCTCCTAGTCAAGCTTTTTGTATTTTAGAGCCTTTTAGTTAAAATAATCTTCTGATTTTCTGTATACTATATACTCTCTTCTTTACAGCAAATATTACTGTGAAAAAACACCTTTAGCTCTACAACTTTTGGTGTTTAATCTATTTAAAGACCCATGGAAAAAGAAATTGACTTTTTTCCTTTCCTTATTATATTCTACATGCTGTAGAGTTCTTTTTGGCCAAATTACAGCTTTGTAGAAATAACTAATTGCTGCGCAATAGATTCTGTATGACTATCAAAAATGCAGCAACATAAGCAAAGTCTTCTAGAATCAAAAAGGATCTGAACTAAATTATTGAGTCCTATCTGGGGGGGCTTTAATGGGATTCAAATGAGGAATATAGGCTAAAGAAAACATCAGATGTGTTGTCACAAGGGAGTGTCCTTTACTGAAATTACACTTTTCAATGCAAATTGATGATATCTGGACACCAACTTAGGAAAAAAAAAAAAAACCCAAACCCAAAACATCAATGTTGCCAGGACAAAATTCTGCCACTAAATCAAAGTTACAATACTCGGACACAAAACTCATTTAGCAATGCCTGTGCAAGTCAGACTTGACTGTTTGTTTTCTTTAAACATCTTCCCTAATCACATTCCTCTCTTCTCATACTCTTTTCTTTAAAGAGCACACCATGGTTGGAGTAGAAAGTGAGTTTCAAACCTGTAGGGACTGGCTTAGATGAAAAATCAGTAAACTAAGCTCACCCACCCCCAGGCTGGCGCTGCTGAAGAAGCTGTGGCCACAGACAGGCCAAAAGGTGCCCCTTGCCCCGTGCCGGGGAGCTCCTGAAATCCTACACCCAGCTTCCCTGTTATTCCAGGGACCGCCAGCTGCTGACAACACAGCGACTTCTGTGATGGGATTAAATGACCGCTGGAGAATAAACTGGGGCACGACGGTCATTTCCTAGCACCTGTGCCAACTCTGAACGTAGCACAAGAGGTACCCTGCAGGGCCAAACCAAAGGTCTCTGCAGCCCATCTTGGGTCCCCAGCAGTGGCAATAGCAGATGCTGTTTGGGGAGGGCACCTAGCCTGGCCCATTTCTGAAGTCTCTGATTCGTACTCCACCAGCATCCACCTCCTGAATCCTTTCTGAATCCATTCTGTGGCCTATTAATTTCTCTAGGAAACTCCTTTTTCCCCCTGCCAATACAGGTATTTACCTGCAGATATTTTTCATTTTGTTTTGGTGTCAGTAAAGGGGATTTTTTTCCTACTGGCACATGCAGCTCAAAACAGGGCTGCCAGCTCCACCCGAGTACCCCTGACATCTCTGACGACAGCAGTGCTGCTTCTGCTCCAGCATCTGGCAAGCACATATGTCTGTTTTGCCCTGTATCGCACCTTGCCAACGCTTGCTGGCTGGCCAGTGTAATCATTTATGGCATTTTCATTTGTAGCAGTGCTAGCTGGTTTGGTTTCATCTGTCAATGCCTTGAAGGATCGGGGTCTGGCTGGACAGGTCTTCAGCTAAATGATTTCTTTCCAAATTAGGCAGCACCTCTGTTTAACTTTCACCACTCTCTCTCTTTGCACTGAAGGACTGCCAGAGAAACACAACAGGACAGCACTGCGAGCAATGTCCAGATGGCTTCATTGGTGACGTTGTCAGAGGAGTGCCCACGTTCTGCCAGCCCTGTCCCTGCCCCCTGCCAGCACTTGCCAAGTATGTAAAGAGTCTCTGCTTCTCTTTGATTTGGGCTGGCTTTGGCCCTTTCCGGGGTGGGGTCAGCATCCCTTCCCGGACGCAGGAGACAAAGGCTGCTGCCTTTCCCAGCCAGGGGAAAATAAGAGGTCTACCAGCTGCTCACATTTATAACTACAGGAAACAGCATTTCATTTAGAAGGTGTAAAATATCCTTAAGTGCTCATATCAATTCTTACCAAGGGAGAGGAGAAAATATTTGAGCAAATTCAAGTTCTCCCTCTTTTATGTAGGAGAGATTATTCAGCTGTGTGGTTACTTTCAAGAAACCCTCAAAGACAAATTCCTCAGGGCATCAGGGATGTATGTGGCTGAGACAGACAGACAGAAAGATCAATCTATGACCTCTGGATGGTTAAACCAACCATGAAAAAGCACAGCCAGGCAGAGTCCTGAGCAAACAGTGGCTGGATCTGGTTAGTACAGGAATAGTTAAAAGGAAAGGGCTGGAGAACCCTGTGACAGGTACGGTGCCCTTCAGCTGATGCCCAGATACCTTTGGGTAAGAAACTCTGAAGCCTGACAGAAAACAAAGACCAAGCCAAAGAGCTCCAGCTATTAGCCACTTTGTGCCTTCAGAAGAAACAAATAACTACAAACCATGACCAGCAGCTATTAGAAACAGTTAGTGGTACATCAATAATGCAGATGAAAGAAATTATCAGCTTCCTTTTGCTTGAGGTCTGCGCTCTGAGAGCAGCACCTATGCAAATCCTACTATAGTGCACAGAGGAGATGCTAGTAAATACTTGCCAATGGGTTAAAGCTGTTCTCTAGCGAGATACGTACTCCCATTGTGTTGTTTCCAATTTCAGTTTCAGCAAGGCTTCTCAGCAAAGGGGAATTTCCTCACTGTATTTGTTTGCAGTTGCTATAGGATTACTCATACAGCCTTAAGGTGGGATGAGCCGCATTTTGCTCAGCTGCTCAGTGGCACAGGCTCAAAATGGCAACGGAGCAAAATCACTCCGGCCAGAGTCCCGCAGATCACCTCTTGGCTTTCGCAGTGAGCTGCAGACATGTGAGGAAGGCCGTGGGGTGGAGAACAGCTATCGTTGAAAAACTGCAGCTTTGCCTGGATTAGAGACAAAATCCTCCAGAGACAGGGGAAGAACCTGGCTTTGCTCACATTTGAAAGGACTTAGGAGGGGGCAAGCTCACAGACAAAGCAGACCGCTTCCTCCAGTTTCAGTAGTAGCTGTAATGCCAGAAATAGTAGAAATACAACAGTCAGAAGCAGTGTTTTTTCCTTAGCAAAGGAAAGTGGATTTTGGGGGGTTTTTTTGACCTGTTGGGCACAGAGCAGCCACTTTGGTGTAAGGAGCAGCTCTCTCAACCACAACCTGGGCTGCACATGCCTGAGGCACCACCGCACGATGAGATCCAGTCCCTACTGAGCGCAGCCATCAAGCAAATGTCTAGGCTGTCCTCCCTACGGTGCGATTTGAGAGATCATGACTGGGTCTGCATCCACCGAGTCCTACAGCCCACTGGGCTCTGCAGCAGTGCCCCCCCACCACAGGGAGCCAGCCGGCCCACCAGCCCAGCAGGGCTTGGTGCAGTGGGACCAGGAGGGACCGGAGCCACAGGCTGGCTCTGCCAGTGCTATGGGAGATGGGTGCAGAGCCTGACACACTCCTTAGCCCTTCTGCTAAGGACATACATCTCTCCTATTCCAGACCACTAGAGATAAAGAAGCCCTGAACCCAAAAGGACAGCAGCATGGGATTGGAAAGGGACAACAAAAGTTGTTGGAGCCTGAACGCAGATGCTCCAACATTAGCAGCAATATAGGAGTTAGAATCGATGATCCTCATGGGCCCCTTCCATCTCAGGATATTCTATGTTCTATGATACGTCACCCCTTTAAAACTACCCCAGTAAAAATCCACTTCATTTTTTCAGGGTTTTCCCTTGGAAAAGTCCTGAAGGCAGTAGTTAAAGGAATATCTGATCCCAATTTGCCTCCTAACCCTCTTTAAATAACATGCAGAAATTGCCTATTCAGCTTCTTGCATGAGAGAGATCGGACCACAGCAATTGCCTTCAGCTGGGGTTGGAACAGACAAATAATAATGATTGAGCAACATTCAGCCTTGCATAACTAAATTCAAGGAACAACCGGGTTTTTTGGGGTTTGTTTTTTTTTTATTTTTCCTCCATTAATCCTACTCCATTTATATTAAGGCAAAGCAATAACTACCAGAAAGCAGAGAAGCATTGAATGCCTTAAATAAAGAACATCCAAAGGATGTTGTTTTGTACTCTGTTTTGCTTTGGAAATAGCCAGCCATAATAGTTAGACAAAGTGACCAAATCTGTAAACTGACAGACTCACCAGACACATATTTTTTGTTGGGATTCATCTGTGTGTGTCTAGATTTTCTGGCCAGACTATCTTCATATCTGCTATCCTTGGAACTTTTGGAATAACTTTTGGACATTACACATGAAGTGTAATGTCATCTCTTTGGAATAAAAAAGAAAAAGGAGAGAGCTTGCTTTACAATCCAGCAGATGTTACTTTATTTCAAACCTGAGGGAATTTTATGAACTTTTTTCCCTTAAAGATCACAAAAAAATATGAAACCTGGGGAAGGCTTTGGTCTTATTTCATAACTTACATCCACAGTGTGGTTTTTTTCAACTATGTGAAGGAATTAGCCTCTGTAAAAGAAGAGGAGGGCTGCCAAACTGTTATGATTTTCTCTATATGTTCTCAAAAAGGCTTTACTGAATTTAATTTGTGAATTCTGTGAGAAGAATCGCATTTTATGTTCTCTCTGGTCATATGAAATGTTTTAAGACAGCACAGATCCAGACACAGATTTATTTGACCCTGGTTGTCCCACCAGCTGAGAAATGCTGGCGGGAACTAAAAATATGCAGGAATTCTGGTCATCTTTCAATGCTGCTCATTCCTGAAACATCAGGATCATGCTCTTTCCCATTGCTCCGAGTCTTTTGTCCTTCTGTGCAAAGGGGATGCAACCTGGCCACAGCTGCCCAGCACCGTGCGATTCGGGACCCGTGTTTTAGCAACCATGGGCCCGCAGCTGGCAGCTGCTGCCACTCACTGTTCCAGTCACACTCCAGTGCTGGCAGGCATTTACTCACACATATTGCAAACTAACTGGAAACATCTTTAGGATTGCATGTCTTTTTCCTGCAAATATATTTAAGCCATGTCCGTCACTGTGTTTGAAGCGTATACAATTTGTACTTTACACATCTGGCTGCTGCTACTCCTTTAGTTACACATTTGCTAAATCCTGAAAACATAAGAAAGCAAAGGAATCCCTGATTTAGAATCACGGCAGTGAAAATTACTCCAATCAGTGTCACTACTTGGTATGTTGGTCACAGCAGAGGCCCCAGACTCTTTCAGGCTTATTCAGAGAGACGGTAGAGCAGCCTCGGTTGCTGTAAATGAGGATGGCACGCACGTTAGTTTTCACCAGTTGGTACTTCCAGATTGGATTTGAGGAAAACTGTAGGATTTGCACAGGAAACTGCTGCACCCATTCCAGAGACTACGTTCCTGAAGTGCTCACTGCAGCGTCTTTCATAAGCAATATTTCACCCCTTAGAATAAGAGATAGGAAGCAATTAGGTTCACATGACATACACATTTATCATAAAAGTCCTTTGTCTAAAATATGTGTATCAAAACCCACATGTGTGTCTGATCTACACTGCAAGACAGGAACTTACATGTATCTGTATTTATAAAGCTCCATAGTGCTATACACTAATTAGTGCTTTCTACACAAATTAAAAAGACTGAACAAGGAGTATAATGTGAGTAACACACAGAGCTTAAGAATACCTATTCAGTGCTAAGTAACCAAGAGCCAGACTCACACTGACAGCAAATGTCCATACTGTAGTAAAGAAATAGTCCCAAGTGTTTGCCATTGCATGCTAACTATTCATTTTAATGAAATTCCAGCTTTGCAGTCTCCTGTTACAGAAAAAGTGGAAGCGTGCGTTGTGTCTGTAAGGAAAACTATGCAGGACCCAACTGTGAAAGGTAAGAAACTAACAAACAGAATGACTTACTAGTCAACAATACTGAAGTCCAGAAGTCTTTGAGGGGATCTTCCCACACAGGGAAGAATTCTCGTGCATGTGTTTTCATCAGGTTGAGTAGTGTCTCTTAAAGGATCTCATTCAGTTCCTACTAAAAACCATAAGAACTTGCTGTGGAGACATGTCAGGGTAAGACAGACGTGTACGTCTGACGGACTTTGATCGAGTTCTTGCACTATGCATACCTTCATGTGGTGATCTTTCTAAAAGGAATACAATTTACAAATCAAAGTACAAAATACAAATCAGAAACAGCAGCTGAAATGAAAAATAACATAGATGCCTCTTGCAATTCACCACTCTAAAACACAGAGCAGGCTTCTGCCAAATAATTTTTTCAAAAGCAAAGGAGAAAATGCATTATCTAGTCAAATACTTAATGAGCAGGTGCAGCTTTTTTAGTTAAATTTTAAATGTACTTCACAGATACGATTCAATAGTCAAGCAAACCACCATAGGCCAGTGCTGCTTTTCAATTTTCCCTTATGTCCATAAACTATTTCTAGTAAATACTCTCTAAATAACAAAGTACACAAATAAATGGAGCTATACAGCAGAAATGTAACTTACTCTCCTATCTTGTAAAGGGCCATCTTACTCGCTATGAACACACAGGGATGATGTTTCAATGAATGTCAGAGGCCTGATTATAATTCAGAAATTCTCCTTGGGCAGCCAATAAATTAAAACAGCTCTAACACAAAGACTGAGGGGTATAGGATGGCTCAGACACTGCCTTCCTGAACACCTCATTTTGTTTTTTCTTAAAGCCCCTGAAGTATTTAAGACTTCAGTCCACTCTCATTAATGGATAAGTCTTGAATTCAAATTATACTTAATGTAACTGTCAGAGAAGGGGGAAAGGGAATGCTTAAGATGCAAAAAGAAATCAATATGAAAAAGGTGAGATGAAAAAAAGAATGAGGCTTTTGCCCTTACAGATGATGCAAAAACATCAGCATATTACCTCCACATCACTAACACGGTGACAGCAATAGTGAAAGCCCTTTAGACAGATGGCACAAAAATAAAAAAAAAACCACCCTTGTTTCCAGGCCTATGGCTGTATTCTTTTGTTCTTCCAAAATGTCAGATTTATACACAAAGGATAATGCAGACAATTAAAAGGTCAGGGAGGTTTCTTAATGGTTATTAAAATGTCAGCCTAGACTACAAGCAATTCAAATCCTATGAAATAAGTAGCAGATGCAGAGTAACAGCAGAAAATAGCATCAGCTTTGTTTTCTAATAGCCACTACCCAGCCTGACACAGTGCATCTGTCTCAAGGAAGGCAAAGCTGCATAGATGGCTTAGAAAAAGCTACAGAAAGAAATCTGCCTGTCCCAGCCACCGTGGTAAGTCCTTGACTAACTGCGGGGGTAAGTGGCAAGCAGTGGCAAACATGACTTTCCTTCTGGTCGGCTCCTGATCCTGCTCCCATTTGTGTCAGAAACGACGAAAAGCCTTTTGAAGTCTCATGAGAAATGCATTGCTTGTCCCCGTCCACTTGCTAAAGAGCAAGTCCCTGCCTCGCGTACGCTGCTGCTGGGCACTGCCACCGCTCTCTGCGCCACTGGCAGCTACCACGCTGTCAGCGTGCTGGCAGGAGGACCAGGGGATCCTGAGCGAGAGGGGACAGTCCCTGCAGCCCAAATAGCAGCTCGTGTTCCCGGGGAGAGGAAAGCTGCGGCCTGCTCACAGCCCTCCCTCCCAGCGAGCTGCAGGACACCCCTCCACGGGCAACACGTGGGATCTCCAGAGCAGCATCCCGGGAGGCAATCTGCTCCGTTTCCTCTGGCGTTCATGTAGGAGGCTTCCTTGTGCTGCTCCAGGGGTTTGGCACAAACCTATCCGGTTTATGTTTGCCAGCAAACCGTGTTGTGAAAGCACAGACGCTTTTGCTAGGAAGCGAGAAAACCAGCTTCCCAATTTGAAATTTAGGAAGGAATCATTTTGCTCCTGAACTTCAGCAATAAGGCATTAAGGTGGTAGCGGATGAAATCCAGGTTTTGTTAATGCCCAAATGTTAAAAAAGATAACTGAACAAATACTTTAGTGTCCAAAGTGAATAGACAAAAAAAGTTCTTTTGGCATTACCAGGGAAGAGGAAGTTAATTTCTTACTCGCCAATAATTACAGGAAGCAAACATGGCTGCAAAATGAAACAAAGATAACTTAGCAGCTTTATTATGGGAGAGGAAATTTTCTTTGTTAGCAACAAAGAGCCATTTATTGATACAACAGAGGAAAAGACAGTTATCACAGACCTCCACTTTTTCAGGCCATAAAGCGCAGAGATGGAGCAGTATGTTTCCGTCCAGCGGCCTCTACTATTTTCACATGCTACCAGCGATTCAAGAGGCCAAGCACAGTCCAGCCCTACGAGATGCACTGAGTGGCAAAGGGAAGGGGAAAGTGAAGGTGACACATTTATTTTCAGCTCTAAAAGTTTCTATTTGTTTCAGACAGCTACTCCAGATGAGGAGATATATCTAATATAAGTGAATCAGATGGTCATAAAAAGCAGCACATACAAACTATATCTGTGAGGATGTGAGCAACTGTCCACTATATTTCTGGCAAGTGAACCTAATGGTAGATTTCAGAAAAGAAAAAAACAAAAAATCACCTTGCCCTGATGAGAGGGCAGATGTCGTGGGCCTGATGGGAACAGTCTTCAGGAGGTGCTGGCTGACAGCCAGAGCTGGATAGCTGTAAGCAAAATGCTGGTCTCACCCCAGCGCTGCTCAGTGGCTTCTGTGACTTGGTGGCCACATTAGACAGATGACCATTTGGAAAATACCTACTACAGAAAATTAAAAAGAAACTGCAAGGTTCTGAGAGTTCAGAATAAAGGAATTTAAAAAAAAAAAAATCCATAGTTTTTTTTTTTTTGTTCAAACTTCATAAACATATGGAAATTTGGAAATTTGGAAAAATGCTACAATATCAGATTGGCTGAAATATTTGAAAATTATAGGAAGACTTTTGTCATGACTAAATAGTACCATTACCCATCACTGCCTGCTCTAACTCTCACGGGAATGGGGAGTGACTCCACCAAAGTCAGCTAAATCACACTCATTATTCTCCGTGTCGCATTCACAGTTCTTCGAGGGGTACACAGAACTCCAGGTCACACTTTTATTCTTTACATCTGGGTCACTCAAGTGATAAGATCTGCACCAAAGATTCTGGCAGTGCTGCAAAGAGACAAAAAGAGTCTTTGCCATTGGCAAAAGCGGTATTTGAGGCAGCCAAGTGATTTATATTAAGATGCTTAAAATTTCATGTGTTTTTACTGTGGGGGTTCAGGACTGGAACATGAACAAAGCAGCACTGAGGAAATTACTTTCTTTGTTTAAAAAAAAAATCAGCAAATATAGGAACAGATCAAAACCAGAAGCTCTTATCAGATCTCCCACATTTTCATCATTCAGAAATACCAGAATCTGGATTTGACTATGTTCAGGTTTTAGGACACAAGAGACCTCTGCTCAGGTTCCCAGCCAGAAACCCAGAACACAAAACTGCCTGAGGACTCACCCTCCCTGCCCACAAACAGCAGAACAAACAGCATCTTAGAACAGGACTTTATGGATGGGAGAAAAGACAAGGACAACAGGGTGATAAAACAGGATGAAATACAATAACTATTCCTTATCTAAATCACTGCAACAACTATTCAGTCCTTCGATTTCTTCAGTCAGCAATTGCTAGGCCAGCTAGTTATCCACCTCCCTGCAGTAATTCTTCATTCCCACCTTGGGGCTATGAGTCCCTGACCTCTGTGCCCTGGGCTGCTGGGTCACGGACCCTCCTGCCACCCCGCAGTGACACCACGAATGGCGTGGGTTGTCCCTGTCCTGCCAGCTGACCCCTCCAGTCCGTCAGGCGCTGCTCCAGGCTGCGCCAGCCACCAGTTCATCCAGAGAAGCCCTTGCTCAAGGATTTGCTCCTGTGAGCTGCAGCATGTCCACTCCCATGCCGGCTTATTCACCTCACTGGCTGTTTTGCAAAAGTTCCTTTAGCTCGTAGGATTAAGCACGCTCCCTGCTACCAGCAGAAACTCCTTTAACTGAAACCCTCTCCTTTCTTTCTAAACGAGGACATCAAATCTATTACCTCATGCCTTAGCTAAGGGACACTGGTCACACAGGAACATTAGGTATCGCTGGTTTGTCTAGACGTTCAAAAGCCACTACAGTTTCAAACACGTCTTCCATTTTAAGATGTAGCAATTTTTCAACAGAAATGCTTCCCAAACGTGACATAACCTGCAAAGCAATTTGGACGTGTTTCAGGCCTCCCCTGGAGTGCTCGTTACCCACCTCCATCTCTCCCTCTGCAAACCAACAGAGGCATCCTCCTCTCCTGGGCTGGTGGCTGCTCTCAGCCTTTTGCCCTCAGCCAGCAGGCTAAAATCAAATAAATCTGAAAAATGGAGGCTGGCTGAGTGCCTGTTTTGTTTTGCAAAACCCAGAAACCACCCCAATGCTGCACTATAGAATTATTTATATAAACCTTTTTCAGTACTTTGTTATATGCATCATGAAAATAAGGTCTGAACTTCCTCTTGAGGTTCAGCATCATGAAATGCAGTGTCTTACCTCAGTTTCCTATATAACACAATATAGTTGGTGAGATCCAAAGCTGAAAGAGACCGAAATAAACCCTAGAGCTGCCTCTCTGCCAAGGTCATTCTGTCATAGGTTTTAAAACAATGGGAAACAAATCATTTTGCTGCTAAAGACACACGCACAAAAATAACGCAGACTGGTGTGATTGAGATACCAGGAGTGTTCAAGCAGGGGAAAATATATAACTGTACAGATTGAGATTAGAGCACAAAACAGCCTCTGCAGGAATACAGCTCCTAATTTGCCTTCTGTCCTTTAGTTGCTGCAGACGGTCATCAATTCCCGGTGACACAGATAAGGTCAGACAAAAAGTGATACCGCAGATGGCAATGTCATTGCTCGTCATCTCTGGGCTTGCTCTTCCTTTCAGGTGTGCCCCCGGTTACTACGGGAACCCTTTGCTAATTGGAAGCACTTGTAAAAAATGCGACTGCAGCGGCAACTCAGACCCAAACCTGATTTTTGAAGACTGCGATGAAGTGACTGGCCAGTGCCGCAACTGCCTGCGCAACACCACCGGGTTCAAGTGCGAACGATGCGCTCCGGGTTACTATGGGGATGCCAGATTCGCTAAAAACTGTACAGGTATTGTCAATAGTTTAGTTGAGCAGAGCAAAATGCAGCACAGCACGGTCTACAGATGACCTCCCAGAGATCACCGTTGCCTGAATCAGTCATCGGGCACTTGTGGCCCCAGGAGGCAGGGGGTGCTCCTGGCCACCGAGCTGGTGGGATGTCAGCTGGATGCCTGTTTGGTTGAATCATCCCCGGCACTAGCCCTCTTTCCATTGCCCACGAGGAAGTCTCAGACCCCAGACCCCAACATCTCAAACACCTGGGCAGGATGAATGTAGGCACTGTTGTGTCCTGCATCTAAGTTTTGCTTGGGCAGGGACTTCACCTTTGTGTTTGTTCACACCACACACTGCCCACCTGACCACTCAGGCTGATGGCACTTCAAGACTTGAAAGCAGTTTTTATGGGAACAGGATCATCCTTCCTGGCCTGACCCAATCCCCACTCAGTTTATGCTAGATTTCACACTGCTACTGTATTCTGCCTTTCCCATGTGTCTGTGTAATCTTGCTGATTACTGTATTTCCACACAGAGATGACTACTTCCAGCGTCTGGTAAAGTGCCACCCAGAAGATCTTACCAAAACATATCCACACAGAGCGGTCACAGAGGTTCACATCCTCTGATATAATTATTCTCCTGATTTACAAGGAGTTCAATCCAAATAGGCCTTTGGCCTCATGCCCTTTGTCCTTGCTTTGGCTCTGGGAGACAAGATTACATCCTCTTTCAAAGCACTGAGGAATAGCCACAGCTAAAGGCAAGTTCAGGTGCTCAGAGCAAGGACCTTGGGGCTCCCTCCCAACCCCTTTCCCAGGGTCCTTCCCTCAAGGACCAGAAGACAAATGGGGGAGATGAATCAGTCCTAGCTTTCAGCCTGACTCAAAGGTATGACACAGCCAACGCACGCACCCAACTCAGACCTCTGAGGTGCTCCGGGCTCCTGAATGCCACGAGGCAGGAGAAACGCACCCAGCGCTTCAACTCGGCAAACCGCAGCAATCGTGCCCTGGCCATGTGCAAAAGCAGAGCTTCACACAGCTACGCGTAGCTTTGCCAGAAGTCTGAGGATTATAGGGCATTCCAAGTGTCTAAGCAGATTAGGGAAGACATAATTTTGGAAGGCATCTCTGAACATAGAGTTTCTAAACTGAAGTTAAGTCACACTTTCATGACCTCAGTATAGTTTTGGGTTGCGCCCTTAAGGAGTTGAAGGAATTACAGCCAGAATGCCTTGGTATTATTTACATTTCTGAGGTACAGTTTAAGTGGGATTTCATGGTGCACAGGACTTTTCTACACAGGTTTTTCATGCAGACTATAAATCAACTTGATAATTCTCTTCGTTAGCAGATTTCCTTGTAGTGTTTGATCTTTGCTAAAAATAGAAAGTGCCTGGGCACTTCAATATGTTGTGAGAGGTACAGCTTTTCTCTATTTAGGAGTTAATTTAATCTTGTAGTTGACTCTAGCAAATCCTGATTTTTAAGTATTATGTTTCAGGGAATTACACACTTCTCGTTTCTTCTTCATTTCTGCTAAACACCACAACGTGCTGTACTTGACAGTACTGCATAGATTGCCTGCACCACCACTTGATATGTCCATGATATCCGAACTATTTGGGTAGTTTACAAAGCAAGCTTACACTTTGGCATTTTGGAGCAATTAGGAACTCTTATTTAGAAAAATATTGATTCTGAAATAAAACAAATACCTTCTTTAAAATACAAAAATACAGAAAAGAAACTAGTGTAAGAAACAAGAGTCTGTATACGTGGCTCCCACGGAGCACCTGAAAGGGTATATAGAACAAAAAAATGCCAGAGAACTAAATAAGCAAACAGCTCTGTCCAGCTAAGATAATTTCTTTTTCTTTCGAGCAAAAGGCAAAATCTGTGTAGCTGTGGATAGTAGTTTTCAGCTTCTTTTCCATGAATTTTTGTTGGTTAATGTGTCCTTTAGCCACACTCCAAAACTTTCCACAAACGTCCTCAGAAATAAAGGTAAATTTAGAAGCTTACTCCACTAGTAAGCCACTGTATCATTGAAAGTCTTAATTCCCTACTAAAAATGTGGTACCTCCTAAACAAATAGATGAAAAATTGTCAGGACTGCTTTGAAATTAATTTACTATAAGCATTTGTGTAGCAAATTAAGAGTTATCCATTTAAATAAGAGGACACCATTTGATTTTCTTGAGCACCAATCTCATGCAAATGTTAATCTTGCAACTGAAATCTTGCCACCTGTTTTGGGGATAGCCTAGATGCTGTGATATAGAGAAATCTCTGCTTTCAACTAAGACTTTTCTTTCACTTCTTAACAAAAGAAAGAACAAATTAAAAACTGTGGATCCAAGAGCTGGGAGATATGCGGTTCATACAGATTGTGGTGAGGTCAAAATATGATTGCCCCACAAAATTCATAACCAAATTTTGTTCTCACAATGGTACAAAAACTGAGTAGTTCCATTAACACTGGTTCAGTTACACAGAATTATTCCAATGTTAGTGCATCATGGTTGACTTTGAAGCTGTATTACACATTTTCCCTGATAATTCCTCGAATGTGCAATGTGGAATGTAAACACAAGGGTAATTCATAGAGAACAATGAATGGGCTGCAATAAAATGGCAGTAAACAATTTTGTTATATGAGATTCTGCTGAAACCATGAATCACAAGAGCAAAATGAGTTCCAGATAAGTCACTGCTGTTCTTATGTTTTCCTTCAGTTTTTGTTATTCTATCAAAGCGTTCCAAGAATATTTTAATCTTTAAAATAATATATTTTAAAAGGCCAATTAAACCTTGAGAGAGACACTTTAGATTAAAAATTATCATTTTTTAAAAGCCACTTGTGCTGGCAATAAATATGTAGCTTACTCAAGTTTTAAAAATGTAAAACCTCATTTATTCTTCATTGTAAGTGGTAGGAGATATTTACTTTTTGATATGCTCAAGCTGATGATGGAATTGGAGTCCACTATCAATCCCTGATAGCTGGAAAGCTTATTTAGTGGCAGCCTGACACAGTGCTGATAAATTCCACAGGTCTGTGGAGAGATTTGTAACTAATAATTAACTTCAGTTGTACTGCTTTCCTTAGCCCACCTCCTGAACATCACCCTCTCCAGACGGTGATGCACAATGGCCCAGCTGGGCGATTCTGGCCTCGCTGCCTCTGCTCGTGACCAGCTGGGAAGCTTCAAACAAGTCACCTCAGCAGAGGCTTTCTGGTTCTGTTTGCTGTCTCATATTTTATCTGGTCCAACTCGACCACAGTGCAAAGAGCACCTTTTTCTACATACTGAAGGGAAAATCAGTTCCAAGAAGCCCTTGATTTTGGTTTGACTATCCATGCACAATCCTACGCACAATCACTTCACTAGTCTTTGGAGGGGAAAGGCAGGTTGTACATGTTGAAGATTCTTCTTTCAAAAAATCCTTTTTTTTTCCCCCAGAATGTAACTGTGGAGGGAGAATGTGTGACAGCCAGACTGGAGAATGCCTCGCAGACAGTCCTGAAGTTTCTACTGGCACAGACTGCCCAACCATCAGTAAGAAGATTGTCATGAGAACACCAAAAATTAATATTGCTCTTGTCTTTAGATGCTTACAAATGCTAACTTAAGAGCTCGGTTCTCAGTGGGCTCAGCACTTTGACCTTGGTCCCACAGGGCGCTTAAACATGTGAATATGCACAATGCCCCGGTGACTGAGTATTTAAACACATTCTGGCTTGACTGAGTACAAGCGTACGTTCAACTCTGATACAGACTGAATGTTGAGGTACAAACTGCGGAGCAGTAGGGAAATATTACCAAAGACACTTCTATAGACTGAGACACGGTGCCTGCAGAATAATATTCTGGCCCTAAAATCTGCCATCACAACTTTATCTGTGCCATCTTGCATAAAATTTCTGGGTTTTTATTTGTACATCTAATATTAATTGTTACTGTTGACAATTTGACATATATCCATCAGTCAGTTGCTTTTCCACTATCATCTCCCCTATTCTAATGATAGGAAGCCTGGGGACTTTCCAGAAACACTATGGTGTAACTAGTGGTAACCACTGAGATTTTTTTTAAATGTTGGTATAATTATGCCTGTGGTATAATGCAGACCATGTGGCGCACATGGGTTCCTAAACTGACTCCCAAGAAGAGAGGGTTGTGTGCCTGGGAGTGCAACCAGAAGGAAAACATTTGGCAGATGCTGCCATCAAGAATACAGACCAATATCGAGCAAAAGTTTCTGTAGGAATCTCTGTTTCACATTCACCTAAGTCTCTTGCATTTAGCAGTGGCACCAGTGCCACTAAAACCAAGGTGGTATTCCAAGCATTCAGCAGGGACAAGGATATAGCTCTGCACAAGCGTGTTCCAAACATGTTATAACTGTGTTTTCAGAAGCTGCCTTCTAATCAGATAGGCAGCCAAGAGCCCGTCTGCTGGACATCCGTACTTCTCATACCACCAAATTTTAAAAACAGAGTTTTGGGTTCTGACAAAATGAAGTTGGGTTTTTTTGACCCTCATCTGTTGTTCTTTGGGCCACAAACATGCAGAGCCTCTTGGGAATAGCCAGGAAATACCTTCTGTCTCTCTCTCCCTCCCTCCCTCTCCCCCTACTGATTACGGAGCGGCTGTGGCAGCCTCTCAGAGCAGTCCCTTCTGGTGCTGCTCAGATGGAAGCATCGTGACTGTACTGTGGGACCTTGGAAGTGGGCGGATGAAAGTGAAAGAAAAATGGGTATCCATCAGGATCCATCAATGACAAAGAGGGACCACCATGGGGCAAGAGCACTATAATGTGAATTTAAGATATTTGCTGTTAACTGACACAAACCTAAAGAAAAATTACTCTCTCTTATTTTCTTATCAGGCTGCGATAAATGTATTTGGGATTTGACAGATGACATCCGATTAGCAGTTCTGGCTATCGATGAAAGCAAATCGACTTTACTGAGCATTTCTACAGGTGTTGCAGCTCAAAAGCGCTTGAATGACCTGAACCTCACTACCACCCATCTCCAGGTACAAACATTGATGACATTTTATTTTTATTTTTTAATGTAATTTAAAACTATGAATTTCCATTCCTGTAAATTTAAATACCTGTTCTCACTAGAGAAATAATTTGTTTTCAGATGCACTGACTTTTTTTCACACACACACAGGCAGCAATGTCCAAGAAAAAGAACCATGCTGTGCTTTGGACCATCGAGGTTGATGATACTGCAGATGAAATGAATGACCTCCTAAGAGAGGCGGCAACACTTGATGAACAGGTTTGTTTACAGCACCCTGCCAGAGCTCTGACGGTTTGCGGTTTGTAATATTCACATGCTGGCATAGGAGGTCAGTATAGAATAGTTACAGTTGAAAGGGACTTACAACGATCATCTAGTCCCCCTGCCTGACCAATTCAGGGCTGAACAAAAGCTAAAGCACGTTATTAAGGGCATTGTCCAAATGTCCCTTAAACACTGACAGTCATGGGGCATGAACCACCTCTCTAGGAAGCCCATTCCAGTGCTTGACCACCCTCTCGGTAGACTCTTTCCTAACATCTAGTCTGAACCTCCAGGTTCACCATACAAGAGTGGGAGTGCCCTGAAAGGTAGTTGGGAGAACTTTCTATTGCTGTTTTCTATTTCTAAATTTTCTACTTTAGCTCTAAATTAAAAGCATAAATGACCTATCAAGTCTTCTTCCCCGAAAAGGAAGGATGTAGGGCCAACATCTGTTGAATGTGGTTAGGGGGTTGTTACCAATCACAAAAAGCCCCCCCTCAGGATCTGAGTTCCCCCCTACCCTCCTACATAACTTGTTTGATCTGAGATAGATGCACTGCCTTTCTGTTTCACATTTTGATTTCTAATTAAGCAAAGTAACAAACACTAAACTAATTCAGATTGACTTTGGGAGTATTTGTACTATATCTTACATGTATGCTCTCATAAAATTAAATTAGCCCCAATTAGACACTTCAAAATACGTTACCAAACTGCCAGCTTAAAAGTTTTTTCACCTACCCACTGAGATAGGAGCCTGATCAGCACTCAAGATATGTTTTAACACAATTGTAATCATAAATGTTGCATCCACATTCAATTGCTAGGCTATAAAATTAAGGTTATCTGCTCTCAGCTCACATAGCACTTTCATTGCACCCTGGAAGAATACTGATATGATATATGTTAAAAGAAGAAATAGGGTTCAAAATTGCTTCTCCTGCATTTTAAAGAGACATTATTAAACATCTTTCTGTTGCTAAGATATATCTATAGCTATATATATATGTGTATGAGAGAGACATCACTCTGTTATTCCCAGAGATAACAACAGCTGTAGTATGACTAGAGTATATTTCATGCTTATTGCAAAATGCCAGACCTTATATTCACTTACCAATTCCTTCACAAGACAAATTAAAATTATACCTTAGATTAAAACTCAAATGCAGGAGCAAGTAGGAGAAAAAAACACAAAGGAGAATGGGCTTCATAGAGAGGTGGACAAGCAAATTTGGGCTTGAGTGTTTTTAATCAGCACTTACTTAGCACAAAGAGCACTGCAGAATTACACAGACTATGCCTGTGTTCGAGAGAGGTTTGATTAAATCAGCTCCCACACACGCTCCCCCCTCTGTACCTCTGAAAATCCAGCAGAGCTCACACACCTCAGTGTCCCTCTGTGTAGTTTGTAGGCAGGACGATTAAGGCATTAGGTTTTCTAGGAATATTTAGTGAATTTGCATAATAATGATTTTGTCATCTTCAGTACTACCTGGGGATTTCTTAGCTCATTCCTCAGTTTGACTGTCCCCGAACCAGTAAATTCAGCGTTTCCTCTGGTCTTTTGTCCGTGCTAATTTCCAGTGTTTCCATGTTATTCCACATGAATACCTGTGATTGCTTGTAAAGGCAGGGAAATAATGGCCCCAGACTCTCCCAGTGGAAGGAACACCACAGTAATAACTCTGAATATATTGAACTTTTTTGCTCTTTTATGGAAAACGGGTGTTTGGGCCTTGAGTGGGTTTTGCAGAGATGTGCTGCATCTTCTGTTCAGAGCATTTCATGTGCACATCCCCGTGTCTGAGGGGTCACTGGAGATTCTCCTCTAAACCCCGAAGGCAAAATGATTGTAGGTAAATCCTCCTGCTAAATGGGAAGAGTAAATGTGAGCTCTAACTCCCTGAGTCTGCTTGGGATGAGCTTAAACTAAAATAGCACGTAGCTCGATCCTGAATGTTTGGCAGAGACTTGGGGGAGCCGAGCGCCTTTCCTTCCTGTGCTCTTAGGAAATTTCAGGACGAGGTTCTGTACATCGGAGGGAATTTGAGGGTTCCTAAGAGCCTCCCTCACTCACGCTGCTGTGTTTCCCATCACTCTCACGGCAATCAGCAAATCTGTCTCAGCAATTCCCCGTGTGTTGAATAGTTAAAAATCTGGCAAGGAAGGAGTATTACGTAAAGGCAAGTGTGTGTGAAAACAATAACAAGTTGCTTAAAATAAGCATGAAGTGGCCACGCTGAGCAACAGAGCATCCCCAAGAACCACTGGCAGCGATAAAGGAATACGAATAGAACCCATAGTGCTTGCCCTTCAAAGACTAAAAACAAACAAAGAAACCCCAAACCCAAGCCCAAGTGCATAGAAAAGAAATGAAAACGTTTCCGTGAACCCTCTCGCTCGTTCTGTTCGGGTGCCGGCCCAGCCGCCTGGTGCCACCTGCCGCC